ATTGGTGGAGTTTAGAATGCTCTTTGATTTGAACTATAAATCCCAGCAAATACAACCCCCAAACACCACCAGTGTTCACATTTGGGCATATTGAGTATCAGTGCCAAGTTTGGTCCAGATCCATCATTGTTTGAGTCCACAGTGATCTCTGGATGTAGGTGAACTACAACTCTAAAACCAAAGGACACTGCGCACCAAACCCTTCCAGTATTTTCTGTTGGTCATGGGAGAAATGTGTGCCAAGTTTGGTTCAATTCCATCGTTGGTGGGTTCAGAATGTTCTTTGATTATAGGTAAACTATAAATCCCAGCAACTACAACTCCCAAATGACAAAATCAATTTTTTTTGAGTAGAAGGACATACATTGGGTTGTTAGGTGTCCAGTGCTTTTTGAGTTCTGTTAATCCCACAAACAAACATTACATTTTTATTTATATACATTTGTTATTTCCTATATTTATACCCTGCCCTTCTCCCCCTGAATGGGGACTCATGCTTACATATTCCAAAAACCACTTTCAAAAAGACAGAAAATAGAATTTTTTCCTCATTTTAATTGGAACTATTTTATCTTCAGAAATGCTAAAATTATGCTTTATGTTCAGATTGTAACAATAAAAATACATCCTGCATATCAGATATTTACATTCAATTCATAACAGTCGCAAAATAGGACATGTGCAGTGTGCATAGGAATTTGGTCCTCATTTTTTAAAGAAACTATAGTCCGGCCCTCCAACGGTCTGGGGGACAGGAATCTGGCCCCCCGTTTGAAAGGTTGGAGGACCCCTGCTCTAGACCATGGCCATAGAGGCCGAAAACACCTACAACAACCCTCTGTTGTTTTCTTGCTTTGAATTTCTGTTTTCTTTTTTCTGCTTTGGTTGTTTTTCTATTTTGTTCCTTTTTGTGTTGAAATTCATCTATTTTAATTATGGTTAAAATCTTATCTTTTTAAAAACAAAACCTCAAATAGATGAATTGGTCAGAAACGCAAACGCAGATGACGGGACACCCAGCGAAAGAGGAGGAGGAATGATTGGGGGGAAAGAGGAGGAAGAGATGCCCCTGCGTCCAAGGGAAGAACTACGTTGTGGACCCTCTTTGTTTTGCACACGAGATCCTCTCCTTGGAGAAAAGGAAACAGGGAAGAGTACACCTGTGGGCCGTGAATCCATATTGATCGTGGGTCCCATTCATGAGCAAGTGGCTGTCATTGCTACAGCTTTGGAGAAGAAATTGAACTTTGAGGAACGGCTGAGAATATGGAGAAAGTATCGTGAGTTTGCACGTGTGGAGGGAACCATACCTCAAAAACCTGAGTACCGCCCTCAACTCGCACTCAGTGTGGACGCCAAGGAAGAGAAAGCCTCCATCAGTGCTGCGAATGACGGGAAGAAGAAACCAAACTGTGCTCAGAAGATGAGCAACTGGTGGAAGAGCCTGAAGACCACAAGAACAACTGGCACTTAACCTTTCAAGTTTTACTTCCAAATTTTAGTTTGATTTAGTTTATAATTACAACTAGATTCATAGAACATTAAACATAACATTAAAACTCTTGAGGAGTGTGGGTGTCCTTTTGTGATGATATTTATCTGAAATGTATTTACTTGTATTAATTGCACTCAGGATGGATTCATTGGCTTTCATCATCATCATCATCATCATCATCATATTTAATTACTTATTAATCGCCCTCCATCCGAGAATGCTCTAGGCAATTTACAGCTAAGTTGTAAAAGATAAAATACATACATACAGAAATTAAAAATTAACAGAGATCGAATGCTCTAGTCAAAAGCCAGGTCTTAAGTGCGAGAGTAAAAGGTCCTCAGTCACTCATGGCTCTCATGTCGGGCGGCAAGGAATGGAACATTTCCTCGGGCATCCGGACAACGTGGCTGGTCCAGCGGAGTTGATGGCGGAGGACCATTGCTTCAGTGCTGGTGGTCTTTGCTTCTTCCAGAACGCTGATGTTTGTCTGCCTGTCTTCCCAAGAGATTTACTGGATTTTCCGGAGGCAGCGCTGGTGGAATCCTTCCAGGAGTTGCATGTGACGCCTGTAGACAGTCCACGTTTCACAGGCATAGAGCAGGGTTGGGAGGACAATAGATTTATAAACAAGCCCCTTGGTCTCCCTACGGATGTCCCGGTCCTCAAACACTCTCTGCTTCATTTGGAAAAATGCTGCACTCGCAGAGCTCAGGCGGTGTTGCATTTCGGTGTCGATGTTGACTTTGGTGGAGAGGTGGCTGCCAAGGTAGCGGAAATGGTCAACATTTTCTAATGTTACACCATTAAGCTGTATCTCTGGCATTGCAGAGGGGTGGCTGGTGTCTGCTGGAAGAGCACTTTGGTTTTCTCGATGTTCAGTGACAGGCCGAGCTTCTCGTATGCTTCTGCGAAAGGTGTTTAGAGTGGCTTGTAGATCTTCTTCTGAATGCCCACAGACGACATTGTCATCAGCATACTGGAGTTCTATAACAGATGTTGTTGTAACCTTGGTTTTGGCTTTCAGTCTGCTGAGGTTAAACAGCTTGCCATCTGTCCGATAGATGGTTTCCACTCCGGTGGGAAGCTTCCCATCAACAAGTGAAGTATCATAGCGATGAAGATGGAGAATAAAGTTGGGGCAATAACTCATCCCTGTTTGACACCTGATTCCACCTCAAATGGATCACTTTGAGAGCCAGTGCTGTCCAAGACTGTTGCCATCATGGAGGAGCCACAGGATGTTCACAAATTTGTTTGGGCACCCAATCTTTTGGAGGATGGTCCAGAGAGCACTGCAATTCACTGTGTCGAATGCCTGTATGGTTGGTGGGGATGAGAGAGAGGGCCTTCTCGGTGGTGGCCCCCCGCCTCTGGAACGCCCTTCCAAGGGAAATAAGACAGGCCCCACCCCTCCCCTCCTTTCGTAAGAGCTTGAAGACCTGCTGGTTTCCAGAAGCCTTTGAGAATGACCAGTTCTAACTCAGTCTTACACATTCTCGAATACGGCCTTCTTCTTCCTACCAATGACCCAGATCACTTCCTGTCATCGGTCCCGGAATGAACAGCCACAGACCCGTTCCTCATATTGTTCTTGCCTGCCGTAGCATTGCACTCCATTCCTGGGCCCCCTCGAAGTTTGGGGCTGGCACCAAGCTTGGCCCGGCCTTGAAAATTTTTCAATTGCCTTGAACAGGCAGGATGACTTTGAATGTATGTGTGTGATGGCGACCATTTTTATGCTGATATTGTTTTGTTAATGTTATGGTGATGTTGTTTTTTACTTTGTATGTTTTGTGATGTTACCTGGGAACCGCTCTGAGTCCCCTCGTGGAAATAGAGCGGTACATAAATAAAGTATTATTATTATTATTATTATTATTATTATTATTATGAAAAGTGTGTTGTGTTTCAAGGACTTGAGACAGGTGAGTGTTGGCCTGGGAGGGATGGAACGGAGGAGGCCCTGAGAGAGGCCACCTGTGCCAGCTTGGAGGTCACATGCCATGGAGCAATCCAGGGGAGAAAAGGAGATCCCACCTCAACATTAGCAAGAACTGGGTCGTTGTAGGTTTTTTCGGGCTATATGGCCATGTTCTAGAGGCATTCTCTCCTGACGTTTCGCCTGCATCTATGGCAAGTATCCTCAGAGGTAGTGAGGTCTGTTGGAACTAGGAAGAGGGGTTGATATATCTGTGGAATGACTAGGGTGGGACAAAGGACTCTTGTCTGCTGGAGCTAGGTGGGAATGTTTCAACTGACCACCTTGATTAGCATTCGATTGCCTGGCAGTGCCTGGAGCGAGCTTTTCCTGAGAGGTCCTTGTTTGTTTCCTCTCTGTTGTTGTGCTGTTGCAATTTCAGAGTTTTTGAATACTGGCAGCCAGATTGGGCTCATGTCCCTCCTTACTGTTGAGATTGTCCCCCTGCTCCTTGTGTCTTTCCGTGGCTTCTCTGTGTCGCCTGACATGGTGGTGGTGGTGGTGGTGGTGGTGAGAGTGGCCCAGCATGCCTGTCTCCTCAGATCCAATGCCGTGCCCAGGAGACTTCTTGTCCACAGCTGCCTCCTGGTCCAGGGGAGGAGACTCCTCCTGCAGAAGAAGAAGGGAGAGGAGGACCCCTCTTGTCCTTGGGCTGGATGTCCTTGGTGGGAAGTCTGGAGAGAGTGGCTCTGTGGTGTTTCCTCCTCAGCTTCTTCTTCTCCTCCTTCTTCCCTCTGCTGTGGCGCTCAGGGCTTCCCTTGAGGTCTGGCAAGGACACTCTCCCTCTGGGTGGGGGGGGGGGGGAGACAATATTATGATCATCATCATTATTCCCATTCCTAAAGATTCCTATTGATGGTTATATATTTATGATGAGGAGAAGCCCGGAATCGAACCCTTGGGAGGCCTAGTTCAACAAGGGCCCAAACCAGACAGTGCTGGGTCCATGCTACACTACACCTCCCAGGATCCCACAATGCAGGCAGGCCATATTATTATTATTATTATACCCATTCCTAAGGAATCCTATTTCTGGTTATGTCTCATTATGTCTGTCTGATGGGGAGAGCCCCTCCTCCTCCTCCTCCTCCTCCTCCTGCTTCTCCCAGTGATGACAACCCTGGGTCTGTGGCGGAAGGAGAGAGGCCGGAAGTGGGCGGGGCATCCCTCCTGGCCCCTCCCCCTCCCTCCCTCCCTGGGGCGCCCTCTTCTGGTGGAGAAGGGAAGGCGCCCTCGCCTGGAGACGCCCCTCCTCCTTTCTGCCCTTTGCTGCCCCCCAGTGGCCAGGCGGGGAAGCGCACCCTCGGAGCGGCCGCTTAGGAAGGGAACAGGCCCAGGAGGAGGGAAGGTGGCCTGATTGCGCCTGCGCGGAACGGAGTCCCCGAGGGAGGGAGGGAGGGGAGAGGCCGACAGGGGGCGCCCCCTTCCGAGATGCAAATGAGCCCCGCCAGAGGGCGGCCAATCGGGAGCGCGGCTGGGGAGGGCGACGTCACTGCAGGCCCCGCCCCTCCCGGCCCGGCCGCCATTTTCCAGGAGGAAGCCTCCTTTCTCGCCCAGGGAAGGAGCCTCTCTCTCTCTCTTCGCCTTTGGATGGCGTCTCTCCGGAGAAGGTCTGTATGCGTCTCTGTCTCTGGGGTTCCCTTCTCCTGGCTGGGGAGCCTGAGGAGGGCCTCTTGCTGTGCCTCTTGGTGGACTAAGGGGGGGTCCCCCTGAGGAGGAAGGAAGGAAGGAAGGAGCCTCTCTCTCTCTCTCTCTCTCTCTCTCTCTCTGCTTGAGGAGGGAGAAGCCTGCCTTGGCGGAGGAAGGAAGGAAGGCTTCGCCCAGGAGGGAAGCCAGGGCCAGGCCTCCCCCCCCCCCCCACACCAGGCCCGTAGGCACAGCTGGACAGGGTGGGCCTGCGTGCCAAGCTTGGGCCTGGTCTCTCACTGGCTGGGTTCAAGGGCTCTCTGGGTCAGGGTGAACTACAACTCCCACATTCCCAGGGCTGTCACCCACAAGCCCAGCCAGTATCCACATGTAGAAACGCGATAATGACCAGGCGGGAAGCAGGCGTAGAAGTGAATGATGATGACCTCTTTATTGTTCCCTAAGCAAAGCTTATATAGGTTTTTGTGCTCTTTAGCAAAGTCTGCATAGCAACAGTGGGGGATTACATAATTGTCAAGTGATTGGTTGGACTCTCAAGGGTGAGGTAATCTGCAGGTAAGGTCAGCAACAGGTGATGTCATCCTTCCTGTCTTCAAGGGTAGTGTCCATACATGGTCAGTTGGTTAGGAACAGTGTATGCATCTGGGGAGGGCGGCCTGCCTCCAGTCCCAGGTCATGATGCCCTGTATACTTAGCCAGAATGGTGTGGAGCATAAGTGTCAGGGGTCTGGAATTTCTCATGCGCGTCCAGACTAGAATGGCTTGCCAGTAAAAGCCCAGAGGCGCATTGTCACTTCAATGGGACATAATAATGTCATCACTCCTTTCACAGTTGGCCATGCTGGTTCTCTGAGTGCCAAGGGTGGTCCAGGTCTCTCACTGGCTGGGTTCAAGGGCTCTCTGGGTCAGGGGGAACTACAACTCCCAGGCGCCCAGGGCAGTCACCCCCAAGCCCAGCCAGTATCTACAGTTGGCCATACTGGTTCTCTGAGTGCCAAGGGTGGTCCAGGTCTCTCACTGGCTGGGTTCAAGGGCTCTCTGGGTCAGGGTGAACTACAACTCCCAGGCGCACAGGGATGTCACCCCCAAGCCCAGCCAGTATTCACAGTTAGCCATGCTGGCTGGCTCTGTGTGCAAAGCTTGGTCCAGATCTAGTTCCAACAGGCCTCACTACCTCTGAGGATGCTTGCCATAGATGCAGGCGAAACGTCAGGAGAGAATGCTTCTGGAACAGAGCCATATAGCCCGAAAAATCCTACAACAATCCGGTGATTCCGGCCATGGAAGCCTTTGGCAATGCAACACTGTTATTATGATTGTATTTCTCCCCCACTTTGGCTCTCCGGCAGGAGACTCAAAGCGGATCAACAGAAAAGCATCCGCATACCATTTCAAGGATGATGATGTAGCGGTTTACAGCAGTAGATTAAAACAATACAATATACTTATTATTATTATTATTATCACGGACTAGCCGTCCCCTGCCAGGTGTTGCTGTGGCCCAGTCTGGTGATCTGGAAAATAAAGTAATGAGAAAGTGTTGGTTTCTAATATATATATAACTTTATGATGCTTGTGGGTCAACAGTATTTCTTGTGTTTCTTGTTGTTTCTTTGCCAGTGTTGATGTGCAGATTGTCTGGTTTGCCTTCTCTGGGATATGTAACATATCATTCTTCTTCCTTAGGGGTCCCTTTCAAATCTAGGATACTATATATCTCTCTCTGTGTGAATCATATCTCTCTATCTATATCTATGGCTGGATGACTCTTTGTCGGGAGGGCTTTGATTACGTTTTCTTGCCCTGGTAAAGAGAGTTGGACTGGATGGCCTTGAGTATTTTCTGTTGGTCATGGGGGTTCTGTGTGGGAAGTTGGTGGGGTTCAGAATGCTTTTTGATTGTAGGTGAACTATAAATCCCCGTACCTACAATTCCCAAATGTCAAGGTCTATTTCCCCCAAACTCCATCTGTGTTCATATTTGGGCATATGGAATATTCGTGCCAAGTGTGGTCCAGATCCATCATTGTTTGAGTTCATGGTGCTCTCTGGATGTAGGTGAACCACAACTCCCAAACTCAAGGTCAATGCCCACCAAACCCTTCTGGTGTTTTCTGTTGGTCATGGGAGTTCTGTGTGCCCCGTTTGGTTCAATTCTATCATGCTATTTGATTGTAGGTGAACTATAAATCCCAGGAACTACAACTCCCAAAAGACAAAATCCAATGTTTTTGAGTGAAGGACATACATTGAGTTATGAGGTGTATTGCAAACAGGATCAGAGAGGCAGGAGGAGATCCGAGGAGGAGGAGGAGGAGGCCTTCTTCCTGGGCAGAGGGAGGCTTGGGAGGCTTCTTCTCGGAGCTGCCTTCCACACCAACAGGCCCAGAAAGGAAGTCCGGCCTGCGCCTGCGCAGAAACGCCTCTCAATGAGAAGGAGGGACGACACTTCAGACCCCGCCCCTTCCGGTCCGGCCGCCATTTTCCAGGCGGAAGCCTCCTTTCTCGCCCTGAAGGGAACCCCTTTTGTTAGGCACCCCAAGGCTGGCGACAGAAAGCAAGCAGTCTCCGTAGGTGAAGCAAAAATCTCTTTATTTCAAGTGTGGCCACACAAGGAGAGACAGCCAAGACAGACCAGTGTCTTCAAAAAAAGCTGTCTCTCCCATTTGGATCTTTCAGTCCCCTTATATACATGTCTTTTCACTGTGTCATGGGCACACACCTCTCTTATCGGATCAACCATTCAAAAACATGTTTTTCTCATATTTTGCCACTTCAGTGTCTCTAACTGCTAACCTTCTACAAACTGCGTAAACACACACATTATTGTTCCAGAGAAGCATGTTGGGTGTCAACCCACCCTGGGTACTCCCTAGGCGTACTTGGCAATACAGCATCTTGTGTCTTCCAGATACATGATCTCCTCTTAGCTTTTGGTCTTCTGCAGGCCAGAGGAGAGGGACAAGCCTCTCTTTAGGTTTGCATTTCAGCACGTAAACACTCCTAAGTTCTGTTAACCCTTTCAGCCCAGGGAAGCCTCTCTTCTCCTTTGGTTTCTCTCCTGAGAAGGTTTGTATGTGTCTCTAGATGTATGTCTCTCTGTTAATGAGGCCTTGTGTGTTTTGTGGGCTGAGGGGGTCCCATTGAGTTCCTGATCCTCACTCTTGATTGAGGAATGCCTTGGTGGAGGAATGCGCCCAGGAGGAAATACAGAACGAGCTGGGTGAACTACAACTCCCAGAAGCGAGGGTCAGGCCTCCCCAAACCAGGCCTGTATGCACAGCTGGACAGGGTGGGCCTGTGTGCCAAGCTTGGGCCAGGTCTCTCACTGACTGGGTTGAAGTGCTCTCTGGATCAGGGTGAACTACAACTCCCAGATTCCCAGGGCTGTCACCCCCAAGCCCAGCCAGTATTTACAGTTGGCCATGCTGGCTCTGTGTGCCAAGTGTGGTCCAGGCCTGTCACCAGCTCAGTAGGGTGCTCTCTCCATCAGGATGAACTACAACTCCCAGGTACCAAAATAATAGTAATCATCATAATAATCGACTTTATTTCTCCCCAAAGGGGACTCAGGGCGGCTTACATGAGGCCAAGCCCAGTAGTGCATCACAACCAAATGAAACCAGAAGCACAGAACAAACATCACAACAAAATAAATAGAACATAAGAATACAATGAAACAATGCCGAGTCAGACAATAAAATTCAAGCTATACACACACACACACACATACACACACACATATATATATATATATATATATATAGAGAGAGAGAGAGAGACATACACACTAGCCGTCCCCTGCCAGGCGTTGCTGTGGCCCAGTCTGGTGACCTGGCTTGGGCCCTCCCAAGTTGGTTTCTAATCTATGTAATGTCTGGATGCTTGTGGGTAAACAGTATTTGTTGTTGTTGCTTTGTCAGTGTTGACGTGGAGATTGTCTGGCTTGCCCAATCTGGAACATGCAACACATCACAGGAGACAAGGAGGAGCCGACTTCCCTGGATCTCGACACTAGACTCCTATGGATGCCGTTGCCTTTTTTGCCGCCGCATCACATTATTGGCTCATGTTTAACTTGTTGTCCACGAGGACTCCAAGATCTTTTTCACACGTCCCTCATTCTGTATCTTTGGATTTTATTCTTTCTGCCTAAGTGGAGTATCTTGCATTTGTCACTGTTGAACTTCATTTTGTTAGTTTTGGCCCAATAAAAAGAACCTATGTTTTAAAGATGTTAGCCAATATTTCTGGTCCCTAAATGTAGTCATGATACCCTCAGTTTTTTCCCATCTGAATCGGATGTGTCTTTTCTTTAATTCATCAGTTAAGAAGAAGTATTGTCTTCTTTTCATTGGTGTAATTTGTGGAAATTCTTTGAGTACCACAACTTTTTCCCATTATATTGCAGGGGGATTTTACTGTTTATTTGTAGAACTTATTCTTTTGTCTTCTTCCTCACAAATTGCACTATTATATCTCTTGGTGTTTTATTCTTCCTTGAGTATTTCGTAGAAATTCGATAGATTTGGTCTAGCTCTTTTTCTAGAATTTCTATTGAGCTTTTCAGAGAGGATGCCAAGATTTCCAATATAATTTGCCTTGTATTTTTCCTAGGATTTTCCTGAACATTTCTAAATCTGAGTTGGTTTTCCAACTCCTTCAGTTGCATAAATTCTTGATTCTTTTCTGATTTCTCCTTTTGTCTATCCATTGTATTAATTTTCTATCTTTTGTTTCCAATTCCTTTATTTCCTCCTTCGTTTGAGACATATCTTTATTTACTCATCCAATCTCTTTAATTTCATTTTAACTCATTTTTAATTCATCAAGTTTATTTTGCATTTCTTTGTAGTGTGTGTTTTGGTTTTGCTTTAAATCTTGCCATTCTTTTTGAAAAAGAGTTTTATACCTCTGGATAGGTCCCAGTCTCCCTTTTTATCCTTCTGCTTTTCCGCCCTTCT